AATCAGACCTCCTTCTTTTAAAAGCACATCTAATTGGAGCATTCAAAGTAACGAATTGCTTTAAAAAATGAAGGAAATCAGTGCCTTTGTGGGCTGAGGCCAAGCAGCAGGACAGCCCTGCTCAGCACCCACCATTAGCTGTTGACCTTTCTCAAGCTTCTGCTTGCCACCTTTTCTAGCACTTGGTTCACCACCATCACGCTATTTACAAGCATTTAATTACTTCAGAGATTAACATAAATGTCGGTGTCCTCACCAGCATCTCTCCGGAGGTCTGATCCAAGTGCATGGAGCTCAGTGGGAATCCTTCCTTCAATGCTGGGGTACTTCGGGACCATCCCATCCCACGGTCTCTTTGCCTTCCCCCAGCTGGTCATATCAGTACAGTTGCTCAAGTCTTTCAAAGAGAGAAAGCCACTTCACCTTAAGCTGTATATTTCAGAACAGGCCTTAAAAAGAATGCATCTGGTGCTCAAGCCTGCCACCAGTACGGTGCCTCAGTTTCCCTGCCTCTGAGATGACACTCGCCCTGCCCCTCAGACACCATCAGAGATGAACAGCAACAAGTCTAATCTCACCCATTGCCTGCTTTCTTCTTGCCTCCCTCTTATCAAGGACCCCTGTTACGTGCTGCCTCAAATCCTAATGGAATATCTTGAAATATATTTTTAAGAAGAGCTGCTCGGCTATGGGCTGAGCCCAACACAGGAATCATGGACTCCATTTTGCTCACGGAAAGCCACAAGCCATGCAGCAACACAGAGATCAGCAGCATCAATGTCCCCAGCAATCCAGAAGGTACAAGAGCACAGCCAAAGCCCAGCCATCTCCAGCTATTTACCCAAAGCCATCTCCAGGTGTTTTCCTCCCACCACCCCTTTTTGTCCTTTTTTGAAAAAGGCTTCCCTAGGGCAGTTTATGTAGAGGCATGCTCCTTCCTAGACAGGAAAGCAAAGGGAAAAAGTACACTTAATGGAAAAACGGGATAAATGGCAATCTGAGCAGCCTCAACTACTTGCAGGTATTGATCAGCCACTGCCAGGGCTCTGCCCAGCTCTTTATCAACACAATAATGGCTTGTGATGCAGCAAAGCCCTCAAGCCTCCCGCCTCCAAAGAAAGTAGAAGTTTGGCGCTTCTGTAATTGAGTTTATAAGTTTATACACAGCAATGGAATACCTAACGTCTGGGCTGGAGGAATAACAAGAGGTTTTGCTTAAATTCACCTTGAAAATTTAAAAACAAAATAAGAAGATGAGCGCTGCTCTCAGCTGTAGGCCCTTCCCAGTAATGAGCTGTGCAGCTGAAGCAATTATGAACTTTACTTTTTTAAAGGAGCAATAGCAGTTTGACCAGGAGGTCTTCCTCCAGGAAGGAGCTAATAAATGAAAGCATTAAGTTTATAGTGGGTTGAGTGCTTCAGATCATTACAGAGATGGCCTACAGCTCCACACTTCACTAACTTGATTTTTATTTTTTTCCAAAAGCACCGCGAAGGTGCACAAACGCACACCCTATTTGGACCCACTCAGCATTAAATGCAGCCTAGACAAATGGCTGTTTTCCTCCATCGAGCAACATTTTAAGAAGGAAAGAAAAAAAGTAATAATTAAATTCCACTGATAAATGATTGTTTGCAATAAATAAAGAGAAACAAATGCCATTGACCTCAGCAGCTTCCATTACTGCTACCCAGGCTGCTGCTGAACAAAAGGAATGCTGTGTGCTGCAGTAGCTGGGAGCAGCAGCACGGAGCAATTCCCATTTCAGCTACAGCTGGTGACATCTCAAGACACAGCTCTCAATGGCTGAGCCACAGCCAGAGCAGCTGGGGGCTCCTGACAGCCCAGTGTCCCTGCACTCTGCAGACACAGAGTGATGCCCACCCTGCATCCCCATGCTGGTCAATTAAACCTCTTTTATCCTTAACTCAATCCACAGATGGGCAAAGCTGCTTCAGGCCAGGTCCTGGAGGTAAATTCAAGTTCTCTGGAGCAAAGCTGGAGCCTCCATCCAGGATCAAGGTGGCTCTGTGCTGCCAGGGCAAAGGGTCTTCCTGGAGGCTGTGGCCATGTTATGTCCACCAAGACAGCAGCGTTTGCCCTCACTGCCTGTGGCCATAGCATGCCCAGGAGGCCAACAACCTCCTAGTACTTCCAGACCTTGGCCCAAGGCCGATTTTCACAAAATGTAGCACCTCTTCTGGAAAACACTTTGTCAGCAAAGCTCTTTCTTCCCTTGGAGGCTGCTTATAAACGAGCCTCGTCCTTCTCCCCTCCCACCACCCCCACATGTTGGGATTCCCAATTTGAAACATCTGAAACTTATTCTAAACCCAGAATGTAATAAGCTAAATGGACTCAGATAGAGCTGTAGGCCTTCGGTCCCATCTGTGGGTTCGCTTCCAAGGAGCTCTGCTGTCAGAGCTAGGAAGTCATATTGCATGTGAGGTTACCACAGTATCACAAACTTAAGCTGGTTATTTCTCTCTTTTCTACTTTAAAAGCTACAATATTCAGGTAGCTTAGAGAAAAACAACCTTTGGATTTTGTCTACTCATAAATCCATCACAACAGCTTGGGGGAAAACAGTAAATAAGATATTGGAAGAAGAGCACAAGAGGCCAAAAGACGAGTGTCTCCCTCTCTAGATGTGCTGTTTGCAACCAAAGCCAGGTACCAGGCTGTGATATTAGTGTGTGGTATTGATTTGTTCTTAATCCAGAGAAATGCCCCTGTAATGAACTCTGCTGTGCCCTTAATGATTTCATATCGAAGGATGTTAGGTGCCTTGCTCATAACAAAGTAACAGCAATTCCAAAAATAGCAAGCCTCATAATAAAATGTTATTGAGGAGCCTGAATTTCAATATAAAAGGGACTCTGCTGTACTCAAGGGCTTACTAGATACAAATGCATACTTTAAAAAGTTGTATTAAAGTCATGTCGGTGGCTGAGTTACGGGGGCGACGCGAGATGCTACTTCAGCAAGCAGCTGAGCCCAAGGTCCCCGGGAAACTTTTAGGCAGATGTGGCTGGATTTAATCCTGTCAGGTGGCTGGGGCCAGGCGACTAGAAAGCTCTGAGAAGTTTCCAAAAGCTGCTGGTGAGGGTGGGACAGCGCAGAGGCCCCATCTTCTGAGTTTCAGGGGACGGGGTGACCTCGCTAAAGCAAGGGAGGAATGTCCGTCTGCAGACCAGCCCTACTGAGGGAAAACAGGCCCCACACTCACCTCAAGGCCCTGCTGGGTCTCCTGCTACCTGGATGTCGCCAATTTCTGCTCACTTCTTTGTCCCCACCATTTTGGGCCACACAGGAGCTGCTGGGGAGCCTCAGCGCAAGCCGGCCCTGGCGCTGACAGGAGGCAGACATGGGGCGCGGGCCCCAACATGGCTGCCGCCTCTGCCACCCACACCTCTGAGGGGAAAGAAGCAGACAGAGGAACAAAACGAACCTCTCAGGAGGGCAGACGAAGCACTGGGGTGCCTAAAGGCACCTGCAGCTCCATCACCTCCCCAGGGTGATTTTGGCAGGCGGCAGCTCCTGCTGCTGGGGCAGGGGGAGGCACAGCAGTCCTTCTGGTGCCCAGCATCACTGAGACAACGACAGATCTGAGCACATTAAAACAAATTTGTCAAAAGCACTACATGAGATGAATTCAGACACTGGTCACGGTGTTGATTTATTTGTTTGCGATGTTTTATTTTCTCTCAAGGTTGTTTTTCTTAACTCCTTTCTTGTTGTTTATCAACTCTGGGGCCTGGCCTAAGTCTGTTTATGGTTTTGGCAATTTGCATATAAGAGCATGTTCTCATATTATTACCAACCATGAACTTAATCTGCTATTTGTACTCAGTCTGGCCATCATTCCTGCACTGCAGGAACCTTCTTGTGGAAACTATTAAGAAGTACGCTCTTTACCTTTTCTCCTCCGTACACTAGTCCTTGACACTTCAAATGTCCTTGGGATGTTCAAATCTGCATGATCCTACTGTTACGTCTCCTGCATGCGTTTCTGGTTTTGTCTAAGTTAAACAGCTATTTAAGAATACCACCCAGGGATCCACCCCAGGGCTGGGTAGTTATGAGCAGCAGGGGGTATGGGAGGATGTGGGCAGGCACACTGAGCACTGACGGAGTTTTCAAACTTCACCCCTGAACAAGTGCAGAATCCTGAAAAACTTGTAAAATATTCAAAAAAAAGTATGCTATCACCTGGCAATTCTAGAGCAATGCAAGTCTCTGCAACATGCCAGGGCTTGGCCCGTGTCTACTGGGCCCTGTTCGGTGCTGCTCAGCACCCTCAACGTGAAGAGAAGGCGCCTGGATCTCACAGCAGGCTCTGAGGCTGAACCTTAGCGCCAACCCATGCCACTGTCAGTCACCCTTATATCCAAGAAGAAACAATGAGGAGGCTTGAGTTCAATCCCTGGGGTTTTGGAGGTGGGATGCAGAGGATCTGAGGCCTGCTACACTCCAGCCAAAAGGAGATATTGACAGCATATGAGGGGGTCGAGCTGGGGTTGGTACTGAAGCACAGCTCCTCCTGGCACCCCGACTGCTGGTGCTGGATGTTCACAGGGAGGGTCCCCTCTGCGCAGCGTCGCTTTTTCCACTTGCCCTTTCTAAGTACGCTTTCCCAGACCTTTCCCATCATTTTTTTCCCCAAATGCCATCTGAAAAAAGGAGGCTTGTGCTTTTCTAGCTGCTTGAGGAGACAGAGCAAGCGCACACACGCCTGACTCCTGTAAGTGCGGGCAGTGGCCCACATCTCTCCTCGCTCATCCTTATAGGTCACTACCAAGTAGTCCTTGTGGTACTTCAGCCTTTACGCCTCTCTCACATGCCCCCCAGCTCAAGCAGAGGCCCCCAAAATGCCAGACCTTCCCTCCCAGGAGCCTCTTCTGGCCTTCAAATAACCCTTGTGTGCCAACTGGCTTTGTTAAGGGCAATTGGGACCATCTCCGGCCGCCCTGCCAGGGCTGGGGGCAGGATTAACTAGCTGGAGGAAATGAGAGGTGAGTGTTTGCCTCATACAAGGCTTCCAAGGGAGATCAGAGCCTGGCTCACAAGGTTATCTGTGAGCAGGGATGTAGGCTGGAAAAAAGCCATTAGCTCAATTAGGTTTAATAAAGGCATAATTGCCTTAATTGTAGCCAGCCCCATGCCTGCAGGGTCTGTGCATGGGGCAGGTGGAGGAGCCGAGGGCTCGAGGGCTGCGCTCCTGGCTCCTGCCTGCCCTCAGGACCCTTTCCTGGGAGAAGCAGCACTAAAAGCTGGCCAGCAAAGTGCCCCTGTTCTGAGCTGGCTCCCCACAAGTGGAACAGGAGCCATCTCCTTCCTGCTGTTTCCCCAAGGACACACCAGACTGCCTAAATCCTACATGTTCCTCCTCTAGCCTAGCTCCTGCGCCTGGCTCCCCTGCTGCTGTGGCACTACGGCCCCCCCAGGAGCTCACAGCACCCGTGGACCCAGGAAGGGCTCTGAATCCTAAATCGGCGAGCCAAGAGCATCTCCAGTGGTGCATGGAGAGCAGAATTTATTTGTGTTCTCATTCCAGAAGCCTCTGCCTGCAGTAGCGGGATCGAGTTTATTTGAAGCTACAGCTTACGCAACGGAGCAAAAATAGAAGAAATTGCTGATGCTAAAGCAGAGGCAGCGGTTCGGCATGGATTTGCGTTTCCCATTGATGGCTTCAGAAGAGGAGTGTCACTGGAGTTCAGCAGCTTCATGGGGTCATTAACTGCTCTGGAGCAATATGTTTATTGCTGCTTCGATTACGGCAGCTCTTAAGTGGTGCGGCTGAACCGCGGCTGCGTGCGGCTCAGCACAGCTTGTGCAGGCAGCATAAGGAAGTTTTCAATCTGAGGGGACGAGGAGAAGGAAAAATGATGAGCTCTGCTTGGGCACAGGGGGAAAAGAAACACCGATAGGAATTAACGAGTGGATTTTTCCGCAGCACTCAGTGGTGTCTGGAAGGGGGCTCGCATCTCGCACCTCCACGCAAGGTGGGGAATTAATGCCGAGCTCCTGTTTTTTTTTTTCCTGTTTTTTGGGGGTTGAAAACTGTATTTCATACATACACAGCCTTCTTTGCTACCTGTGTTTTAGGGCTCAGGTTCCTGTTCCGGGGCTCAGGAATGTTCAATTTAGAGATCCAGCCAACCTCAGTAATGTGTTTTTTATTTTTTTTTCAGCAGTTCTGTCACAGCTGCCAGATAGACACCAAACAGCTGAATCATTCATGAGCCCATCAGCAGAGCACGAGGCATTAGGCAAAGGAAACAGCAGGTCAGCCTTGAATTGAACGCTATTAAAAACTTTCATTAAAGTTCTGGAAGAGAGCGGTGGGAGAGGTGAGAGGGGGGAAAAGGAAATAAATTATAATATTGATCACGTTTGTGGATCGGGACGGAGCAGGAGCGATGGAAAACACAAGGAAGGACAAAACAGGAATTAGCCTGGGATATCGCAGAAAGCTGGGCGTTTAAATGGAACAAGATTTAATTTAGATAAATATCAAATAATGCCTGTCAGTGCTCAGTAAGCGTGCCGCTAACAGAGGAGTGACGTGTGGGAGAAGGAAGAGCTGAGAGCAGAGGCTGCAGACGCTCGGGGTTTGCTCCATGTGCCCTTGGAGCAACACCTCTGCGGGGCTGGGGAGCGCAGGGCCCCCTCTCCAGCCCTTCAGATGTCACTTTGTCACCACGTCAGCTGCTATTTCAGAGGGACAGAGCTGGCAACCTCCCAGAGCGCTGCCAGCCATTGCAGTCCCCGTCACAAGAGCTTAGCCCGGTGGCCTCATATTTTGGGTCATCATTTCCTTATGCATGGAGTGCTGCGTCCCCGAACGGGCAGCAAGAAATCAAAGTGTATAAAGCGACGTGAGGGAAACAACCAGGCAATAAAGGCTGCGCGGGAAGGTTACAGGAGGATTAACCAGGCAGCTCTCTGAGGAGAGAGGAGGTTTTATCGCAGCTGAGATATGTGCCGGGAGGACAGCAGGGGACAGCAGCATGGATGCAACCACCTCCTGTCATCAGCGAGGTGCAATTAGGCAGGGGCAAGCTAATTTGTTTGCAGAGGAAGCAGCTGAACAGTCACGGGGCACCTCCAGGTTAACGAGGCTGCCTTGGTCCCGAGCTAATCCCGGGCTGGGGAGCTCGCAAAGCCTCTGAGGGAGACGTGGAGGCACCAAGGGACGTCTCTCTGCTGGGAAGGGAGAGGGCCCTGGCTCTGGAAGGACCCAGCACGTTTGCACTGTGCTGGGCTCCTGGGCTCATCCCTAAAGGTGCCACAGCATTTCTGAGCCAAGAAATAGAAACCTGTGTCCCTGTGAGTGGTGTGAGGATGGGGGCACTCAGCCTGCAGCTGCCCAGGTGAAAAAGACAAGAAAAAAGCCTGGAAATGCCTGATGCTCAGCAGCTCCTTTCCTGCGGGGGGGAGCTGTAAGCCAGAGAGCTGCTGCTCCCCATGGCCTCCGCGCAAGCAGCACCCTTTGGGTTGAGGCAGGCAGCCGGGAAAGCAAGCTGTCTGCAGCAAGGACTCCAAATACCCAGCACACTTCCCGAGCTGCTGTGCCTGAGCGATTCACTCAGCGGATTTGTTGGGCACTGGTGTCCCTGTTGTCTGTGTGATTACAGCTCATAAGAGAGCATCGCCCTCCCCGCGAGGAGTTTAACTTTTCCAGAGGCACCACATAAATCCCCTCCCTGTTTCTGCCTCCTCTCCAGCCTCTGCCCTGGCTTTTTCGGCACACCCATGCCTCAGTTCAGCATCACATCGCTGGAGGCATCTCTTGTCACTGCCATGACAGCAGCAGAGCTCCCAGGGGTGCGGAGCAGCCGGCGTCTTCTCCCAGGGGTGCAGGCACCGCCACCACGGCAGCACAGAGCAGCCCCACGCGGGACGGGGGACGTGCTGCCATGATTTAAAAATGGGATGGGAGCTTACAGCCTCCTGCGGCCCCCAGGCAAAAGGGGGGCGTTGGGAGCGCTGGGTTTTGGGGAGCAGGTGCTGGGGGTCAGAGCTCAGCAGTGGGCTCACTCAGGGCTGCAAGGTCCTTCCTGCACCGAGGGCGACTGAAGCAGGGCTGCACCACCAGGCTCGTTTCGTTCTGCTGCAGGAGCCGCTAAGTGGAGGAAATGAACAGGGAAGAAGGGGAACAAACCCACGGTCTCCCAGCAAGGAGCGTGGTTTAGTGCGTTCACAGCAGGGAAGGGGAGATGATCCGGTCCCCTGTGCCATTTCCCAAGCACAGTGCGTCTGTCGTGTCCTGTGATGGAGGGTATCATCACTGCCAGTCCTCTGCTCCCTCTCTCCACCACTGCAGCCTCGGTCAGCCTGAGCCCAGCAGGGAAATGAGGACATTACAACACTCCCCACCAAAGGGAAGCTCTTGAAACAGCAAGAGAACAGGGCACCAAGACCTTTCTGGGGGAAGATTCCTCCCCGTTAAGTGGAAGAAACAGAAAGGGCATGTTTGTGAACTGGTGTGGGGTTAGATGCAGCCCTGCAGGGGAGCGTGAAATACTCAGACTTTCTTGAAAGTGTGCAGAAATGGAGTGACTGCTCCTAAGCAGGACTTCTACAGAAATTATTGTTGTATCTGTTTTCCTCTTTATCCTCAGCACATTGCGCTGGTTCCCACATGACACAGAGAGAGCAGAGCGTCAGCTGAGCTAACTGCTGTGAGCAGCGAAGTTGTGCAGCCCAAATCTCCAGGGCTGGGGGGAAGGAAAGAGAAACTGGGGCTTGTGCCCCAAGAGGTGGCAGCACCCAGGGGCCCGAGGCTGCACAGCCCCAGGGGAGGCTGTGAAACGGTGCCTGCAGCCCCACCAGGCACTGCAGAAGGCAACTCAAACAAGAACGAAATGGCTTTCAAGCAACTGCTTTGTGCAAAAAGACACCGTGCTATGGCCTTCCCAGGTGCCACCCCACAGCAGCCCTGCAGACGGGGGGCTTCAGTTCCCCCGGGGGAAACGCAGCGCTTCCTGCTTCCAGCCCAGTGCATTCAGCCGGGCTCTGCCAGCTAGCCAGGGGCCAGCAGCGACACGGCTGAGGCTTGGAGGATGAAGGCAAGCACGAGGCTCGGTGGCACAGGGCTTGGCGACGCCGAGGGAAGCAGCTTGGATCAGAGCCACCTGAATTACAGGAGCGGAGATCACAGCAGGCAGAGCTGAGCCCCGAGAGCCACCGAGTGGCCGTGCCCATCAGCTGCAGGCAGGCGTTCCCACCTGGCTGGGTGCAGCTGCTGTGGGTAATGCTCAACCTGACAGCCCAAAGGACAGCACAGGGCAGCTCTGCTCCCTTTTTCACACATCCGTGGTGCAGGGTGGGTGCAGACAACACCACAGCGTGGAGGGCAAACACCCAGCACCCAGCAGCACGGAGCACAGCGTGCCCACACACGACCTCGTTCATCCCGCAGCCAGGTCCTGGAGGAACTGAGGAACCCACAAAACCCACACGGCTCACGTTGTCCCCTTCATTTTGGCTACACGGAGTAAGTACAGAATCGTAAGCTTTATTTTCCTATTGGCCAGCAACTTAAACTGGGTTAAAAAAAAAAAAAAAAGCAATGAATATTATTACACAGAGAAAAAGTATAAAACGACTCAGTGGACACAAGCCAACTTGCTGTTCCTATCTCATTCTTCCTGGCCTCTCCCAACCCTGTACAACGTATTTCAAGGGAACAGGCAAAGGCAGCTAAGAAGATATGCTTAAGAAACTAGAAATATTGCTTCAAGCAACATGCTCAATATTTTCCTCGTAGTTAGTAGTCAATACTTGTCAGGAACCTGAATATAAAACAAGAAATAATTTAGAGGTTTCTCCTTTAGATCATTACACAATAATTTAGATTTCTTTCCCCTCTTTCCCACTGCTGTGGGACCAAGGATCCAGCTCAGCTCCTCCGCCTCTCTTTTCGCATTAGTGTTAAGGATTATTTCACGGTGCCGATGTTGATGGGGGAGTTTCAGATTTACCTGCTCAGAATTTTAACTTGTCACCCTTCACCCCCCCCGTAGGAGCCAGTCCTGGATTTCTGCTCTGTGAATCAAAACCCCCACAACGCTGCAAGCCCCTTTAGGGCTCTGGGTGACTTTGCAGGTGTTAACTGCCTGCTGCCAAGGGACAGGGCAACACCAAAAGGCCAGGAGAGTGAATAAATTACTTAGCTCATAAAAGGGCTTGTCTTCAGTGCCTAGAAACCTCAAATCCATGCAGCCCTTTCTGCTTCAGGGTTGTTTTCACCATCCCAGTAGGCCTGGAACAAGATTCCCAATGAGAACCCTTTCCAGGACAATTAGGAAGAAAACAACCCAAACCCCCGGGACAGGAGAGACACAGAAGATCCTATGAAATCAGGCTGGCATGACAGTGGCACTAAGTCAATGGCAACAGTCATGTCATTGTCCTGTATGTATCCAGGATCCCAGTGCAGAAATAATAGTTAATTAGATCTATTTAATTAATCAGGCAGTTAAACCCAGCACTATTTACCAAATACACTGGGGCGACTGGGTGAAGCTGACTCTAATGGTTACTGCTGGGATGGTCTGGAAAGCTGGCTTCTAGATCTCATTAAAGCCAGAAAACCCTCATCTGATTAATGAGCTCCTTGGAGGCTGCTACAACATTTGTATATATTCATTTCCCACCCAAGAGAGAACAAGCCTGAAGGTTTTAATTAGACCGTCGAGCCCAGGGTGTGCCTCAACATGCAAGAGACATGGTAAGGTCTTTGCAGGAACCAAACAGGCCAAGTGGTAGCGAGACACCTCAGCTCCACAGGCAGACCAGCTCTTCACCAAACCTCAGCAGGGGGTAGGCAAGAAACAACCGAGAGTTTTCTCATTCACACTGGAAGCCACTACCTAAACCAGACCTAAAAGAATTAGAAAGTAGCCAAATGTCTTTGATTTAGAACCCAAGGAGGCAGCAGGCTTCTCGTGGTTCCCGATGGCACTGTGTTGCAGGGAAGCTTCAAGGAAGAGAAGGAAGGATTGCTGAGAAATCCTAAGGCACCCACATTGTGGCAGCATTGGAGTTGTGACAAGGTTTCAGCCGCACCAAGTTGTGTTCCCGAGCAGCAGAGAGCGCAGTTCCTGCAGCAAGCAACCAGGCATGCATCCTCTCATACGGAGACCAGCTGTGTTAGGACTTCAGCGCACACGCAGAGGGGGAGAGAGAAATCTCTGCTGTATGAGAGACTCAGCTCTGGCTCCAGCCCAGCGCAGAAACATCATCTGTCCTCACAGTCAATGCCCGGTGCTGCTGAGCCACTTCTCAGAGAGCAAACCGTGGCTCTTGTGCAGCATCCCGATACCTTCGTATATGCTCAGGAAGAGCCCCTGGAGAAATGGCCCTAGATAAATCTTGCTTTGTAGTTATAATCAAGGGACTGTTGCTAAAGCTTCCAGCAGAAGACCCGCAGCTCTTGCTTCTTGCCAATGAAGAGGACCCACTGAACTCCTGGCTGCCTTGTACACAACGAGGAGGGCGACTTTCCCCTGAAGGGGCAGGTGAGGCTGTTGGAGAGGCATTTAAGGGTAGAGCCAAGTCCTCAGGTTGCAGACTCTTCTGTGGTGATGGTGGAGGGTAGTGAGGTTGGCAGGCACTAAGGGAGTGGCAGAGGGGGAGCTGACGGAGTTCCCACAGCTATTAATATGGTTCCGGCTTCAAACTCCTGTACAAGCAGCAGGTGAAAATCATCCCAAAGATCTACAGGGTAGAAGGAGGAGAGAGGAACGCATGAGAAAACAGAATGGATGCAGTGGAGGCAGCAGCTTGCAAACAGTCTGGCCTCAGACTGGAGTGGCAAACTAGCTCTGGCCTGGGGATACAGCTCTCCAGCTTGCAATGAACAGGAGAGAACATAATCGGTGCTAATCCTCATAATTAATCACCAGCAGCTTCTCTAGGATGTAATTTGGCTACCTGCCAGGACAGAAAGGAAGATGAGCAGCTCCCAGACACATCTGCATCTGGAAGAGAATATTCTGGCTGCCTTCCCCCCCTAAAACAGAGTGGCAGCATCCATGTCCTACCCCCTTGTCCTTCTCCCTGATCATTCGCTGACCCTCAGTGCCACTCCTCAGTACCACAAAGCCAGGGGAGGAACTTTGGGTTACTTAACAGGAGCTACTGAACAGGGGTAGGGAGCTCCTCCAGCTCTTCAGCTACACGGGCAATCATGGCACATCCCCACAAGAGGTCTCTCTCAGGCTGCCAAAGCACCAGGCACGGCCAGCACTACATTTCTCACAGCCCTGGAGCAGAAATCTGTCTCCCCAGAGCCAGAAGTATCATGGACAGGCAGAAGAGGTTCGTGCTTTGGAGCCAGTGAATCTCGGGGTCACTGAAGTACCTGGCGACTTCTTACATGGCAACTTCTTTTTGCCAGGCAAGGGAAAACCTGAGATGTTCAATTTTATTTTTTTTCCATCCCTCAGTTCTAGGGTTCCTTTAACTTCAGCCCAGCAACCCCAAAACACGTGATCCTTTTACCTGCACACAAGCGATGCTGATCCCCACCGCACCGATGATTTTCAGATGCTCTTGAATGAAGTTTTCCAGCTTGGTAATACAACCGTTCTGCAAGGGGAGGGAGGAGGAGGGACAGGGAAAATCATCTTTAATTTAACCTCGTGTGTCTCCCTTTAAGACAGCAGTTGCAGCCCTTGAAAAGCAGTGTCTGTGAGCACCCCAATTCCTCCCGCTGCTACTTCTGAGAGCCCTGAGTTTTAGCGTGGAGCTGGAAAGCCAGGCGCTGCCTGCCTTGGCCTTTCACTTGCGCCCTTGGCTGGCAGCGTGATCTTACCCTCCCAGTTTCAGGCCCAAGTTTTTGTTGTCATAAGGCAAAAATAAAGCAGTAAGAGAATTTTCTGGAAGAGTTCCCTTTAAATAATTAAACTGTTTAATCTAATGAGGCAGGTTTTCCATGGTAACATCAGGGGGATTTATTGTGTAGGCTGCAGCAGTGCCCCAAGGGTGCTGGGGGCCCTCCAGCCCCAGGAGTTTACACTGAACACAGACACCTACACACACAGAAAGGGAAGGAGCGAGCATGCAGCTCTCCAGGGAGGGATGGCAAAGGCCTCTCATTTCCCATGCCTGTATTAGGTCGAGAGTCAGCTCCAGCTGCCCTGATCTGAAACAATTGCTCCTGCGTCCTGATCTGACCCTCTTCTTCTTCCCCAAAATAAAATCCATTCTGAGCTCTGATTTAGACGCTGAGCTGCCTGGCTTAGTGGCAGATGCTGTTCACCCTCCTAACTTCCGAGCCATGCTCAAAGCACAGACTCTGAGAAGAAATACCTGCTCTGAAGGGGCCATCTCTTCTCCCACAGCCCTCCTCAGCTGTAGGGAGCAGCTACTCAGCTCCTCTGGGATTCAATTTGCTTCTTCTGGAAGAGAAACAAGCCCCTCCTGCCCAGCTCCAGCCTCTTTTCAGTCCTGACTGCAGACCACTGGAACTGGCCCTGTCACGTTCAGGGCGCAGAACTATCTCCATTTGCCCCTGCCCAAGTAGCAGCTGTACCAAATGGAGGGCTCAAACCCAAGTCTCCTGCCAGAAGCAACAACCTCTCCCAATTCCCCGTCCCCAGCATACTCTGTAATAACCAATATAATCTCCTATTTTTCTCTTTATCTAATAAAGCAGTGCAGAACATCTCCTTGCTTTCTTTCCCAATTCCCAGTCTCTGTTCTGCTGCCTTTGCAATCCTCTCTTACAAATTAGGTTCCCTGCAAAAGCCAAAAGCAGTCCTGAGACAGATTTGAAATATCTTCCTTGCCCAGCCCACGGCCCCGCCTGTGAAATGCAGACCATTTATCCCGTGCCATATTTACTGGCCATTGGCTCTGATCCCATGCTGGCAGCCATGAAGACACATTTCTGTAAGAGCAGCCTGCATGCAGGAACCCAGACACTCTGACTCTATTTTATTTTTTCTCTTCCCTGAAGCTTTTCAGACTGAGCCTGGAAGGCTGAATGCTCAACTAAAGAAATAAATCACCAACGTGCAGCATCAACCCAGCGCCCTCACTTCCAGCCCACCACCTTCGTGTACTTTGTGACAGGAGGCTCTGAAGCCCCTTTTGATTTTTACCTCTTTGTAGATGTTGGAAGGATGGTCCCTTCGGCCACACAGGTCAGTTATCGTCTTACAGCAGCTGTCTGGGACTTTCCGTCCACTGGCCTCGGAGGACCTGATCCACACGCTGTCAGCCCAGTCCGTGTAGTTGTTGCTCCCACAGCACTTGAACTGCCAGCACACAGAGCACAGGCTGAGCCCGCGAGCACCGCAGCCTCCTCCTCCCTCCAGCCTCCCCACATCAAGCCCTGGGCTTCATCCTCCTTTGTAGGAGACTTTGCTGGAGCCTCCAACAATCTCACTGGCATGGGTTCTTCTAGACTGCTGTAATTATCAGTGACTTTTGTTTTAAAAATTGCCCAAATGGCCATTAATAGCAGCTGCATCCCTCTTTCAGTAGCTGTGACTTTTTTTTACTGCTGGGATGCAACCAGAGGCACCTGCAGCTGCCTCAGCTCCTAACTACCCGGCAGGAGAGTGCCAACAGGGCAAGTTTAATTACCAGTCACTGTCGCACACGCACCTGGTCACAGGGCATCGTGCACAGCAGCCCCACACTTTGAAACTGCTGCACCCGTGCCTGCCCACAAGCACCCTTTCTGCGAAAAAGTCTGTCAGACCTGTGACAGCCCTACCCTCAGCCACCCCTGAGCCAGGCACAGCTAGCAAGAGCAGCAGGAATGCTCTTCTTTCATTACATCTTGCTCTCTGGGGTACTGAAGAGCTTAATGAAAAATGTCAGCAATTTTTCCAAAGCTTTAATGTGGGAAGGCGAAACAGCTGTCAGAGTGACTTGGCAGCTCCAGTTCACTCTGGGAGCAATTCAAGTATAACTTACACGCTGCTGGGGGTCCAATTCAGAGGTTCCCCCATGCAATTCTGCTGGTAGTGCAGCCCAGGCCCTGCTCCGCACCCAGCCTGCCTTCAGGCAGGGGCAGCAGCCTGTATGCTGGGTACCGAGAGCTCACAACACTTTTTGTGGATTTGGTTTGAAGCCCTGCAATTCTCCCCAGCCCCAGCAATACCCACCTCCTGCTGCAGTTTGTCCACTGCGTTGGTAACGCTCTCTTCTCCCTCCTTGCGGTACTTCTGGGTCATGGTGTTCTTCAGGTTTTGCTTCAGCTCCATACTCAGCTGGACAGAAGAGACAAGTGGGATAAGATCACCAGGCAAGCTCAGCATCCCCAGAGAGACCCAGAGCCCTGCACGTTTCATTGCCTCTGCTCCAGGAGAACAGAAAGCCTCACAGAAGCTACAGCTTCCTTCGAGGTCATCCTCACAGGTCGGACTGGACTGGTTTCCAGCAGGCACGTGAGCTTATTTCCAGTTGATTAAAGACCATACCTCCATTTTTGTGACTGGAAGGAAGTGCCTCTGGGACAAATTTCAGCCTGTGCTACACATCACCATACAGGTCCTCACCTTGCATATGCAAGAGATTGCCAAGACATGCTTGCATCAGAACAGAACACAAAACTGTGCCTGCTTGAATACAAATGTGTCCATGAGATCCACATGCAGCCTTCTGTCTCTGAAGCTTGTGACAAAATACTAAAAACCCAATCTGTCTATTCAGGAGCAGGAAGAAAGAGTCCTGGGCACACTGGACTGAAGCCATACAGTCTGAATAGCTCTCACATCGACATCAAAAAGGATGGCACGGGAGGGGATTAAGGATGTGACTGCAAGAGTATTCCAAGGCATTGCTTGATAACGGTGACAAATTTGTAAAGCCAGACAGATGAAGTCTGATTTTTTTTTTTTTAAGTGCATCATTAATTAAAACACTCTTGTCATAAACCACTGGCATGTTCAGGGGATTGGATTCAAACATTTCTTCCTGTGGAGGCTCTTAATCTAGCTACATTCTTCTTTACAGAGATAGCTTCTCTATACACCTTTTATTCTATACGGTAAGTAAATGAAAGGTCAGGCATCTCGTTATGCTGAACCGGGCAAAATACAGTCTGCAGTTTATTTTCCTTTGGACACACTGTATTTTCCAACCCCATGTGTCAAGTGGGGACAACACCTACCTCGCAGAGATGATATGAGGCTTCATTCATTAACATTTGCAAAATGCTTTGAGATCCTGGGCTGGGAAGCTCTACAGAAGTGCAAAGGACTTAATGTAATAAAGAGAAAGCAAGAGGTTCAGCAGCTGGAAGGCATCAGAAGCAAATAAAGAGGAGAGTCCATTAGCAGAATTATTACTTGGGAGAAAAGTGGTTACCTGCAGGCTCACAGGGAAGAACTGCAGCATGGAACGAAACAACAAAAGAAAGGGAGTTTAGACACACACAAACGCAAGCCTTAGATACCAAAGCAAGGGCTAAAATAAAAACAGTGGCAAACAGCAAGCAGCCTGCAACCAGGAAAAAAGAGGCATTTGTCAGCCAGAGGGCAAGGGGAAAGTACAGCTATTGATCAGAGATGCCCCTGAGTGAATTAAAGCACTCAAGGCAACAGCTCTGAATATGTCATCCCTTATTTCAGCCTAACAAGGAGGATCAGCTCCTCTTCATCCTTCGGCATACATGAACCTAGTGACCCAGCACAGATAGGCCCTGGCTTCCTGCCATGCTCCCAGGATTGATCTTTCCCAGTTAAATACGTACACCTGCTCCACTGCTCCCTCTTGGTTACCATCGAACGAGCGAACCTACAGCTCTCTTTTGCTTCTCACAAAGTGCCAGTGCCCATTTTGTGACGCAAAGCACCAAAATAAAAAGGCCAGGAGCCTAACAGCGAAGCCAGTAGGATGGGATGTCCAGCTGCTTTTCAGACAGCCACTTGACAACAATCCTAATTCACCCTTTCCAATCAATTTCCAGACATGAGAGCAATTTCCCAGGCTTCTTGTGTCCTGGTGGCTAAACCCCCTTTGAAACCAAACCGATGATTTAAGCCTCTGCAACTGCAACGCTGCCAAGTCAGAAGTGCAGCTGCTGGGAGTCCATGCTGTTCTCCAGCCCCTCAGCTGGGCTGGTGAAGTAAAGCTCTCCAAAACTTCATGACCTGAAAGGACCTAGCAGCTGGACCACCTCTGCCAGCGCAGGAAGGAGCTGAGCAGCAAGGCTGAGCAGCCTCCCAGGTATAACCACGACTACTGTGTCAGAAGCAGGAAATAACCCAAGATCTTCTTTTGTGTGGGGTGGTGAGTGAGTACAGACAGGTAGAAAGATGAACCCCAGTCAGACCCTAGGTCCCAAGCCTCCAAGCCCAATTCTGGCTGGAGAAATGGGACAATGATCAGCTGTTTTCTGTCCCTGGTTTGAGGTTCCATGACCTGTGCCCACTCACCTGCTGGTAGTAGATATACGCCAGGATTCCAGCAATGATCTCCAGGAGAAAGATGCACAGCAACAATATGAAGTACTGTAAAGTAACAGGAGAAGCAGGACGTTAGAACAACGTGAAGAGAAGCTTGGAGCTGGCTTATCACTAGCTGGCAAAATGCATGACACCGTCTTTGTTGGTGCTTTTCTGCAGGAGCTCTCAAAGGCACTGGTTGGGACTAGGACCTCAACATGATGGAAAGCCAACAATCCTACAGGTGAAAAGAAAACCAAAGAAAACCAAAGAAAAGCAAGAAAAGAAAACCAAACACATGGTAACTGAAGACAAGCAGAAGCAAGTGTGAGTTGAACTCGCACAGCCAGAGGGATGCAGAGAATGAAAAGTGCAGGCAACTGAGATAAGATCACTGGACAGAAGAGCGTGGTTGCTGGATAACCTGCTGAATACATTCAATGTCACAGAAAATATCTGCTTCAGACATCAGTACAAAAAAATCTGGAACTTCTGCTTGTTTTGATACTGTTTAGGGCACTTCATTAAGTTACTATGGAGAAACACACGTTACAATGGTGATTCAGTAAGCCAACAAAGGGCCCATTTCACCAAGGACAGAGCAGACCAAGTAAGCACAAATTTAAAGCATGGATTTGTGTTCCAAGTGACCTCTGTGGGACTCAAGCACCGGCTGAAGTGCACTATCAAAGTGGATGGATTTATACTAGAACAAGTCAGTCACTTTACAGATCCAGGCTGTTCCATGGCTGCCACTAAATTCATCATTTTGTAGATGAAGCTAAAGGGGCACCGGTTCCAGCCATAACGAGGACCTCATGCAAAGTCCCTGCAAGACTTGTCCCGCTCAGGACAGACCAAACAACACATCTCCCATTTTGTTTTACCCCTGAGCTTAGGAAATGGCTCTTCCCAAGGGGTGAGGCAAACAGCCCCCTGTAAGTGTGGCTAGGCGTGAAACTGTCTCTCCCTAGCAGACAGAAAGGCAGCCAAGTGCTGCTCACAGCAAGGTGGATTTCTGTCACACAAGGGTTACACTCCGCACTGCGCTCCCCTCTTCGCCTGGTGGAGGCAGGTATTTCCGAGCTCCTTTGAGGGAGTGAAACAACAGACACAGGCACAAACGCAGCTCAGGTTTCCTCTTTCACCCTTGCTGGGATTCCGCAGCTGCAGAGGAAGGCCAGCTGGGTTTTATCTGCAGGCCAGGCTTTAATCTGAGCACACAATCTCGAGCTTTCACTCCCCAGCCCCGCTCTGCCCCAGCTGAGCACTGGAAGTCTCCGCATAGCCTTGTACAAGGTACCCATTCATACCACTGCAATGAGTCACCCCACAGCCTGTGGGATAGCTCAAGGCTGCTCCCAGCGCTCACAGGAGGCTGGAAGGGGCAAGAAAGGATTGGGGTGCTTTGTCACAAAGGCCTCCTTTCTTTTGTTGGGCCACGGTTATGCCCTCCTGCCCTGACATCATCCCTCTGCCACGGAAGGAGGGCGGCAGGGTGCTAAGCACCACCAATGAACTGCCAAGCTTCTTTCAGATATTCCTCCCTACGCTGTGTCGTCATGTCAGTGGCATTCAGGTGGAGCCGAGCCGGCACCACAGCTCAGCTCATCCTGCGGGCTTCCCCTGGATGGGAACAAACACATATCCAGCGGGCCTTAGGGAATTTGAGTCATGAGGCCCCTGTAAACCCTTGTGAGGGAGGGCAGTGCATCTGCCACCCACGCATCCAACCTGCCTCTGCTGATACGCCGCATCATTAGCCTTATCTCAGCCCCGTCTCTCCCTCGGGGCCCCTTTCAGGTATCTATTACACCGTGTCATGCTGACATAAGGGAGCAGCAGCTTTCACTCCGGGGACACACACACACAGCACAGGGCTGCTCGCCCTGCTCTTCTGCCCCGCTCCCTCCCCAAGAAGCTGGGAAACCAGGAAGGGACGGGGAATTGCCCAAAGGCCTGTAGTAAACATGGCTGGAACCTGGTTTTTGCCTAGGCAAGACTGTTGAAATGGCTCTCTTGAGAGCAGGGCAGCAGATTTGGCATCTGAGCTGAAGTCTGAGCAGGCCTGAAGATCACTGCTGCCTCTGCCACCTGGGAAACATCAGCGTGAGAAACACCACGTCTGCTGCCCGAGCCTCAAGGCATCACCTGGCTGAGGAGGGACATGGGGAAGAAAAATGAGCAATGACAAAGAAGTAGCACAGCTGCGAGTGATGAGTAACGAAATTCTCCAGAAAGTTTTAAGTGAGCCCTTAAAACTCCGAGTTGGGTAGAAAGGCAGCTAACAAAATCCCAGGCTGCTGAGGCTCCAGCAGAACAATGAACCAACAACCAGACACACATTTCCTTCCCAAACAGCAGCCAGAGCTGTCAATTGATTTTAAAAGCACTGAGGAGGCACTGGGGAGAGGAGAGCCACTTACAGCTTTCCCTCCCGTATTTACACGGGCTGCTGGTACAGAGAGAAATTGGGACAGGCTGGCACAGCCCCCGGGGCGCTGAGCGTGAGGCTGTCAGGACTGCTGTCTGAGCTCAGAGCTGGCACAGGCCCCCAGCCAGGCTCACCCAGCCCTGGCAAGCACGGCCCTAATTCTTGTGCACATTACTCACTGGCAACCAGAGCAGAGCGCAAGCACCAGGAGACAATGGGCCTGTCAGAGACAATAGGCCTGTCGCGACCAGCCACTCTGAAAGGCCGTGCTGTGAGGACTCAGAGTGACCTTTTGTTCTCAAGAGACAAGTATTAGCTTTCTGGGGCAGAATAACAAAGAAAACCCCACCGGATTTTCATCTGTAGCTTCTGGCTGAGGCAAAAAAAAAAAAGACAAAGGGAAATCTCTGGCATGGAAAGTAAGCAAAAGGCCAAAATGGACTGCTGCAGACCAGGAGCCCAACGAACAAGCACCAGCAAAGCACTCCCTGTGTCCTTCTCCATGTTTTATTTTCCATTCCTGGCTCTACTGTGCCTCTCACAGGGATTACTGAGCCTTCAGAGCAGTGGTACAAGTGTCAGGATTTCTCATGGCTCTTCTTTCTGCTCCTCTTCCAAACTACAGAGGGGAAATGGGACGGTCAGGTGAACAGGGATGTGCACAGCTGAAGGAGCTGGTGAAGGGTTACTGCAGCACCCGCTCATTACTGTGAAACCAGAGTCACCGACTGTTACTTCAGTCGCTGCGCTCACCACCATAGCTCAGCTACTAAAGAGTGCTGCACACTCCAGACTGAGGAGATTTGTGAGGAAGGAAGCAGAACAGAAACCCTAGGGCTGGTAAAAACTCTGTGTAGGTGGGTGAGCAGGGAGCCAAGGAAGTAACACAAGGAAGGGCATAAAAAAGAACCAGATTATCAAACCGTTATGGCTTTTTAGAGGAAGTGAAACTAAAAACATGTGGTTTTTTTTTGCCACTACAGAAAATTTTCAACGAATACTTTCTTATTTTTGGCAACCCAATGAAAAAAACATGTTAATTTTGTTTGAGCCCAGTGTCATTAAAGTCAGTTTTCTTACAGATCCCTCATACTTCCCTTTTCTTTTGGAAAATGGGAAGAGAATATTGGACAGACAGGGAAGAAGGAAGAGACAAAAGCCACACTATTTGAAATTGGCCAAATCCAGACAGACTTTCTCACATACAGTATAGACATTGTGGCTTTGTACTTCTGGAGCACATAGTGGTAAATGCATTCCTTGGGTTGACGAAAGGAAAGGCTCTGGCAGTAGGCCCCGCCACCTGTGACAAAGGCAGCAGTGCCATTAGGAGCTGGAAACCTGAGTGGCATTTGCCCTAGGACAAACGAATAGGGTTAGTGAAGAACATGACCAAGGTGTTTCCTCACCCTCACAGCATTGTTCAAGAGAAAACAAGGAGAACCTTCCACCCCAGCCCCCAAAAGCAAAACTTACCACTCTGAGCAGATTCCGACGCTCTTTGAAGGTGGCGCAGCAGCCAAGGATGCCGGTAACCATCACAACCACCCCTGCCACCACCAGAATATAAGCTGTTGCTGAATACGTGCTGGAGGAGAGCAAGCTGATGTAGTCACTCTTCTCAGCCAGGGTCCAGGTGCCCACTGCCATCACCGCCCCACCAGCCAGCTGGGTAAAAACAGAGGCAAGAGAATGAGGGGCATGAACTTCCTCGCCTCCAGAAGTGACGGAGATACCAGAACGTGCCCCAGCTCTGCAAACTGAGCCAAGGACAACCCACCCCAAAGGAAGGGCCCCCAGAGGTCTCCCTGGGATGGCGAGCAGTGCCCCGTCAAGGGCAGAGCTTCAGGGAGGCCAGTTGTGCACCCCAGGCAGGAGACGGAGGTGCAAGCTACCTGGAGCACTTGCCCATGCACAGACCTTCCCAATCAGAGCTACACTGCTCTGGCCAAACATGAAAAGGTGACACAGCTTTCAGGGTGCGACCTACCAGCAAGCTTTCCACTGCTCAGCAAGGAAGAATATTGACCTGCACTAAATGACAGCTGTGCCCCACAGCTCTTTCATACATTATACATCTAGGCAGAAAGCAGGCTAGGAGCTTTGAGCCCAGCTGGTTAAACTCTGACCCTTGCAGGGAGTGAAGATGGAGAAACCAACCCAACTGGTAGCAGTTCTTTTATCTCTTTGCAAGCATCATGTTTTTGGAGGGTTTTGTGTCCCTTCTGGTGAGCTCAGCCAATTCTACAAAAACTAGCTAGGTGTGAAGAAAGCAGGGAGATGGTATTTTTCAGGCATTATTTTCCATACTTTGTAAGGAGACCTATGAACAGCCAGAGGCCCCGGTGTCACTCCACAACTTATGCAGCTTGGGCTGGCAAGTCCAAGGGATGGGATTTCATCCCTCCAAAAGAAGTGTGGGTTCCACTGATGTCAGAGCTTTTTGCCAAAGACTTCAAAGCCAACGATTCTGCACTCTTGCCACCAAAACCGCAGCGCCTCTGAAACAGGCTGAAGCTTCTTACCCAGAAAAAGAAGTTGAAGATGAAGAGCAAGTACTTGAGACAGATGGTCCCGCATGTTTCCTTCTTTTCGGTGTACTCACGCATCTTTCTGGCTTAGATAGCTCCTGGAAAGAAAAAAAAAAGTTTGAGAAGCCAGTCAGTCATCGTGCCCCTCCTCCCAAAAGGGCAGCGTTATTCTCCTTCTGCAAAGACCTCACAGTCCCAGCCTTCAGCTGAACTAACACGGCGAGCGAGCCATTTAAGTGACTCCAGGGCTGCTGGGCAGTGCTCACTCAGATGAAGAGCTCTTGCATCCATCCGAGTGACCTACGCAGCACGAGCCCTCACAGAGTGTGAAAGAGAGGCAGATGGTACCAGCATGTGGCCTTCCTGTGCTGCCGTCCTCCTCCTTCTGTCTCCCCGTTCTGCTGTCACTTCTGGAGATTCATTTTGCTTAAGATTAATACTTGTGGGGGCAGGATCGGACCTACCGTGGTGCAAGCCCAGCACTTGCTGAGACCAAGCCAAAACCACGGCTGGGTCTTTAGCAATTCTGATCACGGTTACTGTAAGGAAGTTCACTGTCGCCCATGCTCACCTCCTCCTACTTACAGTGAATGAAATCCAGAGCTGTCACCCAGCACCGGGCTGGCTGCGGCATCGCACTGCTACTTCTGAAGGGGGGCACAGAAACTCTGCCTTTGGCATTTACGGAATAATCCGTCTCCAAAGAATTTCCTTTCCTCATGGATGCTCGTTATAATTGCCTTAAATAGATCCCCCTCTAAGCCCTGGGTATTTTTAATCTTTACGACTGTAACTGGGAATGTTCTTGATACCCACCCAAACACCTCATCCTCTCTGAACCCCGGCATTATGCTGGGGGAACAAATCCCCATCCTCACCCTGCTCGTTTCTCACAGCCCTGCCCAGCAGCCAGCAGTCTCCTGGGGTACTGCTCCTGGCTGCTAAAGAGGCAGCAACACAGCCACCGGCCTGAGGTGAGCTGACAGCACAAAACACCCCCGCAGGTACCAAACCACCCCGTGTCCGTGGTGGGTTAGTCCCCAGCAAAGCGTTAGGGAGCTGCTGTGCTCTGAGCTGGTTTCGCATAAGGAGGGCTGCAGCAAGCGCAGCTCCATGTCACGTCGCTGCCTCTTGTCAATGCAAAAATAAATAAATAAAAAAGCAAAGCTCCCCATTGCCTGACTGGACAGGCAGGACAAAGGCACCGCCCAGAGCATCCCTGTCAGCTCTGTGAAGTTTGAAGAAATACAAGCGAATCCTCACCACCTCTCCCTTCCCAAGAGCTGCGTTCAAACCAAAAAACCATCCTCTTCCTCCCCTCCCAGCCAGCGGGGAACGATACAAACATGTCGCTTTCTCTCTTTTTGGAGACCCTGCACCCTTATCAGTGAAAGGCTGTCCCGGACCAGAGAGCTCCCTGGGAGCAGGCAGGCACAGAGCCGGGCTCAGCGGGAGCCCCCTGCCGTGTTCCTAACATCTGGCTGCTGGGAGGAGCAGCTGCCAATTCTGCAGCACAATTGTATTTTGTCTGCAGGAAATTGGGTCCTTTGCTTCACCCCAGCCCACTCAGAAACCCCAGGCAAGGCTATGATTTAGAAACTACTAAAGCTAGCAGGGGCATGAGGCTGAGAACGTGCCCGGCAGCCCCACCTGTGCCCCCTCGCCCTCCCCAGGCAAACATTTTTCTCCAGGACGGTGTCTGACAAACCAGCTGGCAGCAGAAAGGGCTTCACTGGTGAAGAGAGCAGCTCTGAGCTGGTGGCATGCAGCAAGGCGAATAACTCCTGGTCCTCTGCAAGGATCAGGAACTCCAGCAACGCTCCCGTTAATTACCACATTGATTAATTACCGCGTTGCAGCACAGAAGCCTGGGGCAGGGGGAAGGAATGGATGCTGGTGGCACCGTGTGCTCTGAACAGACTTGTAGTGCTCAATGAGACGCTGCCTTGCTCATGAAAGGCGACAGATTTACAGCTCCCAGAGGCTCCTTTAGCCACGGAACAGGAACGGCAGCAGCCAGACAAGCTCCCACAGCTACGCACACCTGCACAGCCCCAAACAGGGACCCCTCAAAGTATACGCCCCCCAAAAAGAAGCCAGCACAGGTATTTTCATGTATCATCACACAGCAGGTGCTGGGCCCTAGTAAGGAACAGAAACTTGCACCTCTTCCTGATCTGAGACCTCAGACACCCAACCGAGCAGCATCTCGCTCGGGGCGAGGACCGGGCAGGCTGACAGCTCGGGTTATGCTTGCAGGCAGATGACAGCGAGCCTGAAATTTGCCTCCACACCGTGGGTCCTGCTCCACCGAGCACTGCACACGGTGCCTTTCAGCTGCTGGGAGGAGAGGATCGATCTGCTTCCAGCACGCTGGCAGGGAACAGCGGCAGGCTTACAGGGTGCAGTGATTCATGCGGGGATGGCACCATGGATCAGAGAGCAACCAGGGCTGCCTCCTGTTTGGTCTATCCCTCCCAGCCCCGAGCAGAGCTGCTGGCTCTGGCTGCCCCTTGCAAGCTCATTGACTCACCCAGCGAGCTGCTCCCTCACCACGCTCTCCAGTTACAGCTGGGATAAGGCTTCAGGTGACACTGGGTGCTGAGACGTGTCCCCAAAAAGCACAGCACCTTGGTAATCTCAGGGCGCCTCCGGGCCCCAAGCAGCACTCAGTGGCGTGGGCAGGGTCTCCTGGCCTCAGTCGTCCTGATAACAGACCCTCAGAAGTGATGTGGAGCACTCTCGAAAGCAGACAAGAGCAAGCAGCATTAATTAACACGCACAGCTGCGCTCTGTTTCAAAACGCAGAGGCAAAGGTCCGTGCTGAATCACCCAGATCATTACCAACGAGCTCTCCAGTGAACAGAAAATGGTGAGGCTTGCCACAGGGGTGTATTTACAGATGCATAAAAACATATTAATTAGACATGAGCTTGATAACAGGAAATGTTTGTCTAATTGAAAAAGTGGCTAACAGACCAAAAGCACTTCCACAGTGAAGTCCATTTGCTCCAATCCAATAGACAGTAGCTTCATCAGGAAGCTACATTTAAAAAGAAATCAGGGGAAAGAACGCAGTGTAATTTAGTCACACAACAACAAGAGGTGCTTTGACGTTTATTTGCCAGGAATCAAGAGCAAGTTCCTACTGTGCTCACACATCTCAACGTCAGTGTCAATGGGAAATAATGCTCTAAAACAAAATGCACAAGGGTGGGAGGAAAAAAAAAAAAACAAACAAGGAAAAAACTCGGTGTGCCAGAAACCACACATAAAACAGAGAGAGGATTAGCTGAAAAACCTCGGGGCTGAACAGCTCAAATGCAGTTCTCTGCTCTGCCTCCTGCACGACCTTAGGCAGGCCCTTAGCCTGTCCCTTGCCTTTCTCCTCCTCCCCAGTGCAGGAGGCCCAAACTTCTCTGAACCGTGATGCTGTAAGGAGGTGAGAACCCTGCAGCCAGAGGAACGCCAGCTGTGAGCACGGCAGGCTCCAGGCAGCCGGTGTAGTGCCAAAAGCCCTACTGCCTTCAGAGTGCTCTTGCCAGTATAGGTTACTTTGGCCAGTGAACCAAAACCACCTCTTCTGGGGCTTGTAAAATACATACTTATAATGAGAAGACCGTATGACCATCTTAAAAAAATAGGAAGAATTAAAAAAAAGAAAGAAAAAAAGAGTATGTGCTCAGCCTGCCCTGTCTGACCCCAAGCCACAGCCTCCCAGGTGGGTTAAGACCACGCGGTGCACGAGTGCAGGGGGCACTTTGAAAGTTAAACCCCTCCACGGCCTGATTTCCTTGGGCTCTCACCGTACTGACCCCGACAGTAAGGCCGACAGTTCATCCTTAGGACAACAGGAATGCACCAGAAGCTGAGCACATCGCCTCCAGCTCTGGGTGCTGAGCTCCGTGCAGCACAAGCACCGCACAAGCGGCTGTTTGGCTGCTCTGAGACACCCCGAATCGCAGCGGCAGGGCTTGCTCTGCCATCCCACGCCAGGGCACTGCATTTTTACTCGCAGACCCAACGGCACATGCAGGCACACACCTCCATCTCAGCTCTGCAAGCACGTGGCAGGCACACACGCACACTCCTGCTGGCGAGACATTCATTTAGTCATCACAGACGCTGCTCGGCACCTCTGCCTCGACTTGCACAGGTACAGAGCTTAATTAAACAGCAAAGAAATCCGGGGCTGCAGGCTTTTTCTGCAGACCCTGCCCTAAAGCAGCATCTGATGGATGGTACAGAAACGATGCCAAAGCAAATGAAATAGCTCACAGGCCATTAAAAGCAACCATAAAGAAAAGAAAAAAAAAAGAAAAAAGTAACAAGTAAATCAATACTTAAAAATAATGAATGATGGCAAGAAAAATAGTACCTGATGTGTCAGTGCTGTCTCTTTTATAGATAATTGTTATGAACTGGGGCAAAACAGAAGGTCCTGCACCTCACACTGCACTCATCCCCATAACCAAGTGCCAGCAGTAAGCCAAGGAGAGGCGCAGCCCATCACACAAGATGGATGTGCTGAAGGAAATCCTGCTGCACCTCCACTGCTACAAAAGCGCAGCTCCCAGCTGGCTGCAAAGCCAATATTATCTGCCTCCTGCAAACACAGCCACCTCACGCAGCCTGCAGGCACGCTGCTGGCCTGGAGGGCAGGGTACTGCTGCCCTGAAATCTGTCTGAGCAGGGTCAGATAACTCTGGCAGCTCTGAGGAACAGCACAAACATGTGCTCCTCAGTGTGTGCAATGCAGCTGTGGGCCACCAACCTACTGTCTTCAGCAAGCTAACGGAAGACCTCATTCTCCAGCAAGGCTACGCTCCAACTGACGACCTCTCCATCCAAGTTCCCTCCCTAAAAACAAAATTATTGCCACTGCTGCTTCACCTACCCAGCGGAACATCTTTAGAAAAGGCCTCCAGCTGCTTATCAACTCGCCAGCTCATCTCGCACAGTGCAGAGAGCAGCAGGAAGCCATTAGATCAAACCTTCCCGCAGAGGAACTCCAAGGCTTTTAGTGAAGCACTCTGATTTACACAACCACTCAGTGCCATCACCCACCCCAGACTGCTGGCCAACAGGGGCTACAGCCTCAACACTGACCTCTCCCCACTGAAGCAACCCACAGCTCAGTGCAAATCTTCAGTTCTCTTCAAGTGCTTTTTTTCCACCCACTCTTCTGGCTGGCTCTGGGAAAGCTGAAAAAGAGGAAGAGAGATGGAGGATCATGAATTACATTAAGGATTATGATGGGAATCAATATGTGGTAAGATGCTTTGCCATGAAGCGCTCCTTTGAACAGGGAGCATGTGGTTTTGGAGTACACCTTATGAATGCATCCCAGTGCCCCCCTCAAGGATGAGCAACAAGCTTCAGGAAGGTGCTTTCAGACCTAACAAGAGTTATTTCTCTACAGCCTTACCACATTCCTGGCGGGCAGCTAGGCTGCATGTGCCTGCTGCACTGGAAAACGGCCTCTAATTGTGGGCAGCAGGATGGAGAGGAGAAGCAAACAGCAATTCGTCTGCTGGCCTCTCTACCTGGATACCGAATTAATGATCTTTTGATCTACACCCTGACAGGAACTCACTTCACAGCCTAAGGCTTCAGGTCTTTCATCTGTTGCCCCTCTGGGAACGGAAGCAGTAATATTACCTGACTTGCCTGGGTGGGATAATGAAGTGTTTGCAAACCAGCTGGGAAGAGAAGAAGGTTACTTGTTATCAGATCACACCACTCATAACCATTTTAACTTATTATTATCTTCAAGGGGAGCTTCCTGCAGGCCTTTTTCTGAAGCAGTACAGACAGCACACGTTCACTTACCATCAGCTTGGTTTCCCCCTGCTGCCATTCCCTAGGAAAAGCAATGCTCTGGTAAAAGCTAGAAACACGCCGATACACCTCACTCTGTAGCCTCTAGACCACGGGAAAATCTCTGGAGAGAAGCAGTGGAAATCCCAGCACTTGAGCCATTCAGAAATACAAGTCCTACAATCATAAGGTACAGACCCAGACACAAGCCCAGGCTCCCCATGAGCAGCCCCTGTGCCCTACCACTTCTACATCTGCTTCATGCTGCTCCCTTTCAGTAGGGAAAACCAACCTGGGATGCAAAGCTGAGGGTAAAGAGGGAGGCAGATCACAGGCAAAGCAGCTCGTTGTCAGGAATTTTCATTTATAATCGTGGGGGGACAGAGTCACAGAACAGATCTGGGTCCAGGTTCCTCCTCCCTGACACGTACACCAGGCATATTTCGCTCTGTTGAATGAGATTCCCCAGAGCACAGCCTGCTGCTCGGGCCGCCCTGCACAGCTCCTAGCACAGGAGGGCCTTATATTTTTTTTTTTTTATGTGCTTCATATACCTAAGTAGACACCTGCTCCTCACCACAGGAGCTGTCTCTCGGGAGAAGATCACTTGGCTGTTCCTCTCGTTTCTTTCAAGGCTGTACTCCACAAGGGAGGGAGTTACCGCCACAAAAATAGCAACGAGATCAGTTCCAAACTTGGCACGGGTATTTATGATCAGCTCCACACCTGCGTGTTACAGGGCTTGGTGAGGGGGCAGCCAGGCCCAGGAGAGGGGACGGCTGGCTTCAAGGCTGTAGGAGATAAGAGGACCTCAGTGCAAAACCGATTTCATAACCATTAAAAAAAAAAAAAAGGAAGAAAGAAAGAAATTGAGAGAGAAAAAGCAATCCAGCATGTTTGTGCTCCAGAGCTGTTGCACTACAAAGCCAACACAACCCACTGGATAGGGCTATCTGGTCCTAGAAGAGCATCTACAGCTGGCCTCAGAAAGGCTGTGCAGGTCACTGCTCCCAGAACCTGATAACCTGGAGAAAAAAATAAAAAAATAAAAATAAAAACAACAATCCCTCCAAATGCAGAGGCCCTGGCAGGAGCAGGAAGGCAGGCCTGAGAGCGGCACCCAGCGCGTGATTGATGGGAACTCCTCCTGCGCCCGACAACATCAGCTTGTGCTCAATAAGGCCCCCTTTATCCCGGCGGATCCCAAACACTTGACACTATTTATACACAGGAACCACTTCACCCGTCACTGAGCTGAGGAGAGGAACAATAACCCTCTCTCTGCTTCCTCGCGCCGAGAGCCAGCAGCGAGCGCCTGCTGCGTGCCCGCGGCGAGGGGAGCTCCCCGCACGGAGGGTCTGCTGGGCAAGGAGCCGCGGCTCAGCAGCCCGGGGTGAGCCACGACAAGGCGAGCCGTGCTGCTGGTGCTACAAATTCTGGTCCCCCACCTCTGCTCACAGTGCTTTGTTTTGTTTTCAAAAGCAGGGCTTTGTCTGCACCGGAGAATTTGCCAGTAGCGCTCGGCCACATTTCTGAACAGAAGAGTTTGTGCAGAATCAGCTCTCCTCCTGATCCCTGCCTATTAATTACGCTGGCATTTTCGGCTCGGCTCTCAGAAGCAAAGCCACTGGGTCCTCGGTGTTTTCACTGAGAACCTCCCCTCCCTGCAGCCACGACGATGTAGGACTGACAGCGCTCGTTATAATCCTCCCAGCCCCCACGAAGCCAGGCGGGCAATTCTGTACAGGAATTCAAAGCGATTTCCAAATAATGCCGTGATCATACCCATTTGTTCTCTCTATAAATAGGTGCGCTTTTCAAACAGGCTCAGTGCAAAGACTGACCCGAGGACATGTCCCACGCTGCAGCTAGCACACGGTTGCTCAACACTTGGCTGCAGTCCCTTTGCAGAGCTGCTTTCAGTTTTATTCCCTGCAGATCTCAGCAGTGAGAGGGCAACCAGCTAAAAGCCAGTAGATCTTCTACCTACCCACAGTGTTGCCACCTTCACCTGATGTCTCACAAATGAATACTTGGGTTTTAAATCCCACCAGCAAAAATCTGTTCAGCCCTTTTTGGTGGCTGGTGTCACCACAGGGTAGGTTTCCAGCCTCTCGGTGAGATGAAGCTCAGTAACCTCACAGCCTGAGAGGCCCTTTTCCTCCTCGAGGCAACTCACCAAAGAACAAAGGTAGCACAATAGGAGCACAGAGAGACTTTTGGGGAAGTGGCTTCCCCAGTCAGACGGCGCACTGGCAGCAGAGAAGAGCCGTGCATCTGCTCTCCTCGCATCTCAAGATCCATCCTCCATGCGCCAAGCTGCTCTGTCCTGTAAGGGCTCTGCAGAACACGACGCTGTAAAACACAAAGCCTCCCAGCTACCTGTTAGCACTTCCAGGCCTGAGACACCTGGCTGCAAGCAGCGCAGCAGCAGGCAAGAGGCGCAGGAAAAGCTGGCCACCTTTAATTCCGGGGCAAAACTTGTTCTGCCTTAACCAGGCTGTTCCTGTTTGCACTTTGTGGTGGAAAGGAGCAAAGCCAACGTCCTTGAAATCAAAGCACGGACCCGTCGCAGGCAGCCAGCCGCAGTTCCAGCTGCACAAAGGCTGTGTTTTAAAAGCAGCCGAGAAGGGGTTTGACAATGGAAGCGGAGGGAGCAGCCTCACCACTTCAGACACGCTGCTGATAGCCCCGTGCCGGTGCCAGCTGTGCCAGAGCCAAGCCCCCAGCGTGCCGGCGATGGGGCTGGTACCTGCGGCACCAGGAGCGGGGCGATGCACCCTGCAGCGTGCTGAGGGGAAAGGGAGCAGCACGCAGCCAGGGCTGCCGTGGGAGCTGCAGGAGCTTCCCCTCCTGCCCACCGCAGCCACCCCACGCAGCAACACCCTCGCACCTGGAATTAACCTCTTCTCGGCAGGCGCCGGCGGGGTCTCCTTTGGAGCGACCATGAAATGCTTTCAGCAGCTGTCTTCCTCTCCAGAGCTCAGAACGCTTTAGTAGAAGCCGGATCAAATATCAAGCACAGTCAGGGGCAAATTAAGTGACATTTCATTTTCTGGAGCTGCGAGGCCGGTCCATCGGAGCTACCTCCCTCCTGCTGCTACAGGAGCAATACTGAAACCCACGCCCAGCCCGTGCTGCACGGGGACGCCTTGGAAAGGATCGTCCTTGCAGCAAAAACTAAACAACCCCCAGCCAAAAATAAAACGTTCCTCCCCCTCCCTCCCCCCCCTTGCTCAGCCTGTAGTGATCCCACCAGAACCATTTCGGCAGCTGTTTTTAGAGCAGCCTGCAAGCCTGACAGGGAGGCACCAGCATGTGAATGAGTAACTGGAAGCAAGGGCTGGCCTCAAGGCAATTACTCGCTGGCCCTTCGCCAATGCTGCAGGCAGGGGAAAGAGCAGTCCCTGACCCCAAAGCACACCCCAACGGGCTCCAAGGAAAGCCTCCAGCTGCAAACTGCTTCCCTGAAGCACCTCGCTCCAGCGGTCTCTGCTCACAGAGCTGCCCCCAGCAGAACCAGGAGCAGGGCTCGCATGGGTGCTCCTCGCTGCTTGGAGCAAAGCACAGGGGAAGGGCAGGAGCCACGGCTCTCTGTAATGGGGACGGAGCTATCAGCAGCATGGAAATGTGCCAGGCTTCCCCAAGGCTCTCTCAGAGACTCACCTGCTTCACTTGGAGCAGGCAGGAGTAAGAAAAATGGAACAGGGTTGCTCTAACAGATGCCAGCACAAACCAGCCAGACTCCAGATGCAGCTGAAAAATCCCATGATGGATTTCCTCATCGATGCGCCTTCATGTGATCTGAGTGCTGTACGAACAAGCCTCACTACAGGAAAGCTTAAAAAGGGTTTGTAACTTCTTCCCCTCCAAACCCTGAGTCATTTTCCAAGTCAGTAGGGACCACATAATCCCATTTAATCTCCTGCTATTTAAAAGGTTAAAACTGTAAAAGCTTAAAGTAGCCCATTCTGCTTGTCTGGGACACCCCAGGTTAACTCCCAAATGCCAGGAAGTCTCAAAATAGGCTGCAAGAGATGGGAGTAACCACCTATTTCCTCCCCTCGGGAGCCTCTCCAAGTGTTACCAGCACATGCTCGGCATGCAGATAACCACTGTGAGCTCAGCAAGACACATCAGGATGTTTTCCTCTCTGTGCAAAAGATGGGAAGACAGCAAACGTCTGGCGCTGGGCAGACTCATTAGCCATCTCTCAAGGCACCCTAAGCCATTAGCAAGCAGAAGGGGAAAGGCAATCCACAGCAGGGTTCACCTGCAGGTTAGTTAAGGCCCTCCATCAATCCTTAATCATCAAAAGCAAGAAAGACAGAGAAAAGCAAGGAGCCACAGAGCTAAAAGTTTCCCGAGCACCTGAGGAACTACCTTTGCTTTGCCCTGAGTTCCAGTCAGTACTCAGTGCCCACTCCGAAAACGAGATCCCCCGAGGGTTTCCAGGAATTGAGGAATTCAGGAAACAAACTTGCTCAAATTCCCGATGAGTTAGAGAACAATAAACACATTTACACGTAGAGATGGATGCAGTGCTGGATGTCCCTACAGCCACACTGAATTGTGCTGCAGTCCCAAAGCGCAGCTTGTGAAAGCAGAATGTCCTCCCCTAGCTGTGTCTGCTTTTCTCTTTCATAGCTGTGCTGGCAGAAGCCTGGAGAGCCATCAACCATGTTTCCCAATGCCCTGACCAACTCTGAGTGCAAATGGGAAGTTAACAGCCAGGATTTTTGCTTGGTCTAACTGTGGTGGCTTAAATTCCCTTTTTATTTTTTTTCCAGCCTGGGGACACATCCCACAGCAGGGGAAAGCCCTGGGGAGTGCACAATGCACAGAGCAGGCTTTGGCTAGGCTCATTCTCCAGGCACAGCACAGGAGCAGGCTTGGATCCCTTCCCTGCTCAGCAGGAGGAACAAAACAGTGACCTGGGACTCAAAGGCAAAGAAGCCAGCCTGGTGGTTCCTCCTACCTCAAACACGGAGAAAGGTCCTGCTGATGGAAAAAAAAAAACAGCAAACAATTGGACAAAGTAAACTGGAGACTACCTGAGGCTGTGGCAAGTAATCTCACCCCTTGCAGACCTCTCAGGGCAACACTGGGGGCGCGCAGGACAAGATTTCCTCCCCTCTGGATCCCACTAGAGCTACGAGGAGCCGCTGGCATCCAGCAGCCCTGACTCACCTCCTCCTCCAGCACCCCACGCTCGCTGCCTGGCGTGCCGGACATGCCGACACGGCTGGCATCTGCAGGCTGGCTCTGCCAGCGTGTGTAGTTGACTCAAACTGTGCTTCCCCCGTATTTTTCTCGCATGTTTCAGTGTTGTGGTCACCGAGGATCAGAGCACTCCCTGAAAACCACCACTCCGGCACATTGGCAGGTAACAGGCCAGCAGAGCGCAACACAGGAGCCACTCGACACCTTGCTGCCTGCATCTTGCACATGCCTGGCTCATTCCACTGCTCCCCATAACACTCCCACAGCCCTGCACCAGGCTTCTCCGGGGAGCAGAGGGCCATAAGCACCTGACCACACTGAGGAATTTTGCTTAGAAGCATGGACCAAGCTGGTCATAGCCAAACATGGTCCAGACCCCAAAACACGTCCCTCTATCTGACACGCCACACCTGAGGTGAAAACCAGGAACCACCCTCCTGGCCTTTCTCCTGCCTATTCACCACAAGGGGGGAAATGTACCAGGGTGAGGGAGCAGACATGATTTCCCCTGACCCATTCGCTAAGCACTGCCAGATCTTTCTCCTGCAGCATCCCCAGCTGACTCTTCCTCTCCACCTCTCCCTCTGCTATGGGGGCAAAACCACTGGGAAGCGTGCTGCACTCAGGAGACCTCAGGAGCACACACGTCTCCCTGTGTAGCTGCAGGGACAAACTCCATCCGAGCACAGGCACCTGCACAGAGCCTCGCAGCTCTTTCCCCGGCTCCCCACAGGAAGCCAGGCTGAACTTTGCTCCTGCGCTCAGACCTGCCTCCAGCAGCCGATAAGGAGCAGGGCTCGGTGCCAAACGTTTGATGTCGCCGGCTCCTGGCCCAGCAATAACGAGGCTTTGTCGGGAGCACCAGGAGCGACCCGTGGGCCCGAGCAACATCCCTTTTCACACCTCCCACACTTCTCTTTTCCAGCCCTTCCCAAGATTGTTTTGGCTCCTCTCACCTTGCTGCTCCCCACATCCTCCATCAATAGGTTTCCAAGACCCATTTTATGCTATTCCCAGCTAACAAAAGTTGCAGCTCAGATCTGCAGGGAGGAACAGCAGCCGGGTGGCAGCCTACCGAGGGGCCTATCGAGCAATGCAGGATACACCTGCAGGCATACAACACAGACAGAGACACCTCTACCTTCAGGATCCCAGCTGGCACGTGAAGTGGCAGCTACTTATCTTCATCTTCTTCTTATCTCCAGCGCTTCTCCGGCTAGCAGGGAAGAACCATAAGCACCCACCTAGCGAGAGGAATTTTGGTGAAAAGCAGGGACCCAGCCAGTCACACCAGACCCAACCCCTCTTACTCTGCCATGATGTGCAAGCCAGCAATTATCCTGCTGCTCCTTCTGCCGGGAATTTCATTACCCTGCAGCAGCCAGGGCTCGGGACTAATAGGACTGATTGAATTCACTCCCCGGGCCGCCAGGCTGTTGAGATCACAGGCAGGGGAGTCTGACAGGCGGGACGGAGCAGAGCACTGGCAAGGAGAGATGCTCGTCTGCAGTGCTGCTATCACAACCCTGATATTTGCCAAGAAGGCCTGGCAGCAAACAGCTTCAGGAGACTCTCTGCAGACCTGGCAGATCACCGCATCCGCATCCTGCAGCCCCGCTGCACCTCGCCTCTCCCTCTGTACTAACAAAGTGCACGTGGAAGGAAGAATGGGAAAACGGGGGAAATTTCGCAGCTTACAAATGGTGACACCACCTGTTTCACTCTGCCTTGGCTGCAGCAAGAGGAAAACAGTGCTCAGACGTTGAAAGGAAGGAGGACAAAGCGGGATGGAAGGAGGCCTGGCCTTCACCTTCAGGATCCGGAGGTTTTCCAACAAGCAGGAAGACCTGGTTTCTGTTCCTCGCAGCCAGGGAAGCTGGGATGTGCTGTCATTTCCAGGAGTCACGCTCCCTCCGGCTTTCCATGATCTCAGCTGCTGTGCACATGCTCAGGGAGCAGCTGGAGATAACCCAGTGTCAAGCCCAGGAGCAGAGAGGAGGGGTACGAGAGGGTCTGTTCACGAGCAGGACTGACGAGGCCACGGGGGACAGCAGCAGTACACTGGGACATGAAATAGCACAACTCCCCTTTTTGTTGTTTCAGGGTCAGCACACCCACCTTTTATCTTCCTAAGCTTCCTCCTTAGACAGAAGGCTCAAGAAAACCACAGGGACAGTACAATTGCTTTACAAGGGACCTGGAAACGCCAGGCAAGATCATATGTCACACGCAGGTATACACATTGACTTAGATGTTGAGTCCCACCTCGAAACTCCTCGAGTCCCCCAGGAGTTTTTGTGCAGTCCCACAGAAACACATAAACGTACCTCATCCTCCTATGCGTAAGAAGCAGAGCAATGCATTCCTAGAGCGATGCACTCCTTAGCACAGAAGCCAAGCTTCACAGGAACAAGTGAATTCACCTGTGGGATGACCCAACTGAGAGACAGAGCTCACAAGTGAACCCCTTCAGGGCTGTCAAAAGCAAGGGGATCGTTGCTTGGTCTGCGTACGGACCATGTAGGCAGCTGCAGATTTGTGCTACAACTTTTATTAGCTGGGAGTAATACAAAGTGTGTCTTGGAAACTCCTTGACAGATAGCTAGCATGCCTTCAGCCACCCCCACCTAGCATTTTTGCTTGACAAAGGGCTACAAGCAGCTTTCTTCCACCCCCCTGCTGAAGAATGTCTCACACCCAATAGCTCAAACTTGAGGAGGCCACACCAAAAATACCTTTTGCAGAGCCCAGATTTCGGCTGTGCGAGCCTTACTGTGCTGAGAGAGAAGGAACATCAGGCGTAAGGCAGAACAGCAGGAGACTGGTAAAGCAGTGCATGAGCACTCGCTTGGGCTGGGTTCACCATTTGCGATCTGGAGGAAGAGAAGGGGCCATGGGAGAAGAGAGGAGCACAGCAATCCTG